TTAGGTACTATCTATGGAACATTACGCTTAACAGCAAATGGAACTCAGGAGTTTATTCAAATACCAGACAAATCAATATTTTTTAGTGGTTTAAAGAATGAACTCGCAAAAATGATTCCCGTAGAAGAAGGAAGATTAAGCTCAACTGAACGTAGACAAATTGATTTATCCATCACTGATTCTCAAAGATTGCTTATCTCACTTTCAATTAATGAAGCAAAAAGTAGTGATAAAAGGATTACCACACAAATAAGGAATGATTTAGACATGTTAATTAGAAATAAAGAGTTCACGAGCATTTCAACGGGTTCTTACACACAATTTTTAGACGATTCCTATGGATTTATACAAACTTGTAAGCGCCATTTATTTTTTTAATTTTATTTTATTTATTTATTTATTATTATTATTATTATTAGGTATTTATAATTCATTTATTTCTAATAGTATCACCGATAGATTTTTTTATAGCAAATTTAAAATGGTTCATCCTTGTAATTATAGCTATAATTTTATTTTTATTACTATTTTTGATAGTTAGGAAAAAATCTCCAAAGGTAATAATTTTTACTTAATATTTTTGATTTTTAATTTATTTTCAATCTGTCTAATACATAAAAATATATAGAGGAGTGATAATTTAATTATTCTCCAATTCGGCCTTACCTTATTTCGTTTTGTCACTTTCACTATATTTGTTTTTCGTAAATCTAGAGCTGTTCAGTTTCTATTCATACCAAGGTAAGATCATGTATCATTTAAGATATATGTTATTACCAAGTTATATATTAAACTTTATACTGTATTATAAAAAAAAAAAAATAGCTCGGTGTTTTTTGTGATTTCCATAATATTTAATTTAACTATAGCGTTTTCAATATTATATTTGGAGAAGGAAGATGATTTCAAGAAATGGCTTGAACGGCATGGACGTTTTCCCATCTTAATTGCAATAATTTCTGCAGCAAATATTGATTTATTAAATATATTGGATTCGAACATTGGAAACTTTGATACTGATATTTTTAATGCTCCATTATCAAGAAATGCGACAAAAGCGATTTTTTATGGAGGTTGCGTTAGCATATTTATTACTGATATACCAATATTTGTTATTCAGGTATTTCAAAAAATTTTATTATTACTTTTGAAGCTGAAATTGATTAAAGTTGAGGATAGGATCTACCTAAATTTAAATTTTTGGAATTATATTAGTATCAAGAGTTATATATAATTAGAGTTTATTAAAGTTTAGATTTCAAAAACCCCCTCAAATTTCAGCTTCAACTGTGACAATTAATATCGATATAAATGGTTACTAACTTATGAATTATATATTAGTTAATTTACATTACTTATAGTGTCGAAATTGATCCTATTTCACTATTATCCTTAATAGCATCAGCTCTTTCAACATTTTCCTTTATAGCTAGTAAAATATATGGTATTAAATTTGATGCAATTAATAACAGAATGAAAAGAAAAAAGGAAGAGGCTCAAATGAGAGAAGAAGAAAAGGCCAAAGAAAGAGAAGAGAAGAAAGCATTAAAAACTGATGAAGAGGAAATTGATAAGAACAAAGATGAAGAGGAAATTGATAAGAGCAAAGATGAAGAGGAAATTGATAAGAACAAAGATAAGGAGGAAATTGATAAAAAAAATGAAGGGGAAATTGATAAAAGAAATGAAGAAATTGATAAAAACAAAGTCAAATGATTTTAGTAACGATTCAAGCAATATAACTTATAAATATTTTTATTATGTAAACTTATTTGCTACAAAAAGTTGTTGGGATATAGAAAATCTATAGTTTCGTAATCAACAGAATTTAATATAACTAATATCAATATTCTTTTGAGTGTTTCAAAGTGAAAACCTGTAATTGCAATAATTGTATTAATAATTTATTATGATCATTGACAGGCTTTCGTTTGCAGCACTCATTTGATCAATAAATATCTTGAAAGAAAAATCCTTATCTTATTATTTTACTATTATAATATGACATATGTTTACATGCAAGAGCAGTATTTTTTGATACTACCTATTATGAAATAAGGTAGCTGCGCAACGCAGTTGCGCAAAACCAGGAACGGATGAATCAGCAGATTATTTTCGAAATTCTAAAAATTAAATTTATAACAGCTTATTAATATAATTAACGTAAGCGAAAATAGGGTGCAACCGGTGCCCTCAATGGTGCGTATCCATTAGATCACATATTCATAATTATAATTCTAAGTTGATATCTTAACGATTATGTCGGGATTATATGCCTAACTTCATGCTATTTTCGTTGCAATAAGTATATTTTTTTTTAACTTTTTTATTAGATGAACTGGATTTTCATATTGCCTGTTTTTCGCTTTATGTAGTACTTATATTTAAATTAAACCTATAATCCAAATTTTCCTTCATTGTAATACGTATGAGTGATGCACAGGGAAAACCTGTAAGCAAAATTTTATTCGTCAATGACTCTTGGGCGTGCGTGACCAATCATATGGTGTGAATAAACAATTATTACGTATTTATATTTTAAATATTTATTAGCCACCCAACGATTTGTCATACCCAGTGTTAAGAATCAAACGTGCTACTGCTGCAAATCTGCAATAGCATCTATATTTTAACAATTTTGATTGGTTGGTTGTAAATTTATTAACATCACTGCGTAATAAATAAAATTATGTCATTCTCGGATTGGGGTGTATCACAAGTCTATTTACAAACATACAGGGGTGACAAAAATAATTCCACACCTAAAGACTTGGCTTATAACTCAAAAACTCAAAATTTGATAAAACTTTTTTTATTTGATAGAGATAGAATTTCTTTATAAAATAAAAAAAAATTACTAGAATTTAATTACTAATTATTGAAATAATTAAGGTTTATTAAAAAAAGCATGTAGTTATTATTTATATTAATTTTTTTATTAAATTTTTGTGGATTCTTTATAATTTTTTTTTACAATATTGGTAAAAGCTACATCTAAAAAAATAAATTAGATTATATAAGTAAATTTTTTAAAATTATTATTAATTAGATATTTATTTTTAAAGATAAATAATTTTTTAAACTATTGATTTATTTTAAATAATATTATTACC